CGAGCCGGGGGGGGAGGGGAGGGAGCGGGATCCAGTGGATCCCCGGGGTGGGGGGAGGGGCGGCGGGTCCAGGCCTGAGCCCCCCAAAACCCCCCCGGGCGGGGCCCCCCCAAATCCCAGTGTCCCACTCACGGCAGGGGGGTCCAGCCTGGGGAGGGGTCCCGGGGGTCCCGGGGGGTCCCGGGGGGGTCCGGGGGTCGCAGCCCTGCCGGACTCCTCGCAGCCCCTCCCCCCCTTTCCTGCCCCCCCAGCCCGGAAAGCTCCGGCCGGAATTCCGGCCCTGCCGGACCTTGGGGTCCCTGGGGGGACAGGGAGGGGACAGGGATGGGGACAGGGATGGGGACATGGCCTGGCACATCCACGCACGGCCCCACATGAGCACACACGGCCCTGGCACGGGGGTGTCGCCACCTGGCACCGTGTCACACGCGGTGTCACACGCGGTGTCACACACGGTGTCACAGTGTCACACATGGTGTCACACACAGTGTCACACACGGTGTCACATGCGATGTCACACGCGGTGTCACACACAGTGTCACACGCGGTGTCACACGCGATGTCACACGCGGTGTCACAGTGTCACACACAGTGTCACACGCGATGTCACACGCGGTGTCACACACAGTGTCACACGCGGTGTCACACGCGATGTCACACGCGGTGTCACACACGGTGTCACAGTGTCACACGCGGTGTCACATGCGATGTCACACGCGGTGTCACACGCGGTGTCACACACAGTGTCACATGTGCTGTCACACGGTGTCACACGGCCCTTGCACAGGGGTCACATGAGGGTGTCACACCCTGGCGCGGTGTCACACATGTCACACATGTCGCACATGTCATACATGTCACACATGTCACACATGTCACACATGTCACATGTTGTCACACGCCCCGGCACAGCCCCGGCGCGGTGTCACACGGGGTCACACAAGGGGGGACACCCTGGCACGGTGGCACTCCCAGTGTCACCCTCAGTGTCACCCTCCGTGTCACACGCCCTGGGTGCCACACGCGCTGTCACATGCTCCTGCACAGGTGTGACAGGTGGCTGTCACCCCCTGGCCTGGTGTCACCTGCTGTCACATGCTCTTGCACGGGGGTGCACACGGTGTCACACTCCCGGTGTCACTCGGTGTCACACTCCCGGTGTCACACGGTGTCACTCCCGGTGTCACTCCCGGTGTCACACGGTGTCACACTCACGGTGTCACACTCACGGTGTCACACTCACGGTGTCACACGGTGTCACACTCACGGTGTCACCCGTGGCCCGGCACCCCCCGGCACGGCCCCTGCACGACGGTGTCACCCGCGGTGTCCCCCCCCTCTGTCACTGCCACCTGTCCTGGCCGTGTCGCGCTCCCCCCACGGCCCCTCCCCTCCCGGGGGAATTTTGGGGCGATTTTGGGTTATTTTGGGGGGTTTGGACCCGGCGCCGGGGGCGGGTCCCGTTACCACGGCAACGCCCCCCCCCTTGTCGCCTCCCCCGGCGCTGTCACCGCTGTCACCGCCCGCGCCGTCGCCCGGCAACGCCACCCCGGCAACCGCGCGGCCCCGCGTGTCGCGACATGACGGGATCGTGATGACATCTCGGGCCTGTCGCGACACGCCGGGGGCCCGTCACGACATGTCACACAGCGGGACGGCCCTGCCGCAACGAGTCAGCGCCGCTGTGACATGCCAGCCCTATCGCGACACGCCGGGGGCTGCCCTGATATATCAGCCCTGTCGCGATATATCAGCCCTGTAACGACACATCGGCCCTATCCCGACGGACCGGCTCCACTGCATCGTGTCGGACCCGTCGCGACGTGCGGGGCCTGTCGCGACTCACCTGTCACCCCCCACGCCCTCCCCCACCCTGGGGAGGGGACCCAGGCGTCCGGGGGGAGGGGCAGGGGGGGAGGGGCAGCGGGGGGAGGGGCAGCGGGGGGAGGGGCGCGCTCAGAGGGCGGGGGGAGGGGGGGCAGCACTGACCTCACTGTCCTGGAGCTGTCGCGATCCGACCTGGGGGGGGAGGGGGGAGGGGGGGGCAGTGAGGGGCAGAGACCCCCCCGGGGACCCCTCCCCCCCCAAATCCCCCCTCCCAAAAAACCTCCCGCCCCCCCAAGCCCCCCCCAAAGGGCCCCCGCGCCCCCCCCGGTGCCGCCGCTGTCCCCGGGTGCCCCCGGACCGACAGACGGGGCCGGGGGGGCCGGGGGGGCTCTGACGTCGCGCCCCCCCCCGGGTCCCGCACCTGCTCCCCCGCCCGGGGGGGCGGATTTGGGAGGGGCCGCATCCAAAAATCCCCATTTTGGGAAGTCCCGAATCCCGCAAATCCCAGATTTCGGGAAATCCCAAATCCCCGATTTTGGAGGGTGGAAGGGAGGAGTCCCCGATCCCAAATCCCGGATTTTGAGCCGGGAATGTGTTCCAGATCCCCAAATCCCAGGTTTTGGTGGGGCTCCCGTATTCTGCCTTCCCAAATCCCGGATTTTGGGGGGCTGTTCCCGAGTACTGGATCCCCAATTCCGGATTCCGGAGGGAGTGTCCCAGATCCTCAAATCCTGGATTTTGAGGAGGGATGTCCCAAATCCCAGATCCCCGATTTTGGGGGGGTGTTCCTGGGCCGCTGCTCCCCATCCCCGCTTTTTGGGGCCGTTCCCCATCCCCGATCCCGCTTTTTGGGGCCGTTCCCCATCCCCGATCCCGCTTTTTGGGGCCCCCCCGCCCCGATCCCGCTTTTTGGGGCCGTACTTGCGCTGCAGGGTCGTGGCCGGGCTGGTGCTGGCGCTGGTGCTGTGCCCCCCCCCGGGGCTGGAGCTGCGGGAGGGGCCGCGGCTCAGCGGCCCCCGCGCCCAGTCCCGCTCCCAGCAGGGCCCGTAGTGCCCGTCCCGGGCCCGGAACGGCCCCTCCCGCTCCAACCGGGCCGGGTACGGCCCCTCCTGCTCCAGCCGGGCCGGGTACTGCGCGTCCCGCTCCGGGTACTGCGGGTCCCTCTCCGGGTACTGCCCGTCGCGGTCCAGCCGGGCCGGGTACGGCCCCTCGCGGTCCATTCGGCCGGGATATTGCCCGTCCTGCTCCATGCGGCCGGAATATTGTCCGTCCTGCTCCATCCTGCCCGGGTACTGCCCATCGCGCTCCAGGTGCGGCTGGTACTGGAGGTCCCGCTCCAGGCAGCCGTGGAACTGCCCCTCCTGCTCCAGCCGGGCCGCGTAGGGCCCGTCCCGCTCGGCTCGGCTCAGGTAGGGCCGGTCCCGCTCCTTGCGGCTCGGGTAGGGCCGCTCGTGCTCAGCGCGGCCGGAGTAGGGCCCGTCCCGCTCGGGCAGAGCCTCGAACTGCGCGTCCCGCTCCAGGTGCGCGGGGTAGGGCCGCTCCCGCTCCAGGTGCTCCGGGTAGGTCCCGTCGTGCTCCAGATGTTCGGGGTAGGTCCCGTCGCGGTCCAGATGCGCCGGGTACGCCCCGTCGGGGTCGCCGTGGGCCGGGTAGGGCAGGTCCCGCTCGGCGCGGGGCGGGTACGGCAGCTCGGGGTCCCCGTAGAGCCCCTCGGCCTCCAGGTGGTTTTGGTACTGACCCTCGGGGTCCGCGTGGCCCTGGGGGGGGCGGGACACGGGGGTGGCACCGCGGGCCGGGGCTGGGCCCGGATGGGACCCTCTGGCCCGGCCCGGCTGGTCCTGCGACCCCCGGCTCGGTCTGGACATCCCTGAGACCCCTGCCTTGGTCTGGACGGTCCCGGGACCCCCCGACCCAATCCCACAGGGTTTGGGGTCCCGAGGTCCCCTGACCCTGCCCAGATGGCCCTGAGACCCCCCCCAACGTGTCCCCTATAGCCCCGAGACGCCCCCGAGCCCGGTCCATATGGCCCTGAGCCCCAGTGGGGCTCCCGGTCCCCCTCATCTTTGTGTCCAGACCCCCCAGTTCGGGGGTCCCTGGGCCACAGCTCCCCGTGACTCCAAACCCAGGGGTCCCCGCTCAGGACCCCCCCCCAAATCCCCCTGTGCAGCCCCCACACCCCGAACTCGGGCTCCCCACCCCTCAAGGCCCCTCCGCACTCCATGAACTCCCCCAAAATCGGAGTCCCCCCTACACAATCCCCCCCCCGAACCCCCCCAGTGCCTCCAAACCCGGGGCTCCCCCCGCGGCGCCTCTGC